CCATTGAAAGCTCCATGCGGCACGCACGGCACTGGTGTTGGGAAAACGCAGATATCAAAGACACCCGCGACCGCAGAAACTTCGTGTCAAAAGTCAGTTTTCCTTTATTTCATACACATATGGAGTCTAATTTTTCAGTTCACATTTTTAGTAATGTAGCGATCGGAAAATTATCACAAGGCTCATAACGGTCGTAGCCCGAGGTGGGGTGGTGTTACGGCCGTGGTGCTTAGTGGGTTACGGTCAGCCGCGACCGCTATCGGCGGTGTTGACATGCCGGCGGGACCGGAATGGGGTGACCGCTGACCGCGTTGAACAGTGACCGCTATAGACACGATTCTTAATGCTTACGTCAATGGGAAAAATTCAAGGGACCGGCAAAAACTGACCGCTATGGCCGAGTGACCACTATACAAAGGTGACCGCTAGTACAGGTTTGACTGTATTTTGTAACTGTATTTTCTTATTCTATCATTTATTATTATTAGGCCACACCAATTTAATTTCTTGGTTAACGGATTTTTCTAGAAAAATAATGGAGCGGGCGGGCGAAAAAAAAATAAAAATAAAAACAGGCCTAGGCATCGTATTATGGCCCAAAATGGTACGATAGAAGCCATGAAGTCAACACACCAGGCTGGTTCAAAATTTAAACAATGAATTTTGAACTTTTAATGATACCATTGCATTGAAAGATGGAATAACTGTAACGTTAACAACTAGGATGGAAAGGACTGTTTTCAACTGTTCAGGACAAAATATGAGCATTTTGCAGTTGATTCTGGATTTTTATTTTTATTTGCAAATCAGAAAAAAATGAAGCGGCGAATCCGTTAACCAAGAAATTAAATTGGTGTGGCCTTAGGTTACTAAAAAAAAAAGAAAAATACTAAGTTGATTTTGGTGTTGTTCCAGATATGAGGACATGCTGCAGTACCTGCAGGGCTCGCTGGCTAAGGGGGCGCTGCTGCACTACTTTGATGAGAGCGTGAACCTGTTTGCCGACGTCGACACGGAGACGCTGCAGACCGCGCACCGCGTCTTGACCCTGGCCGTGGCGCACCCCGCAAGCCTGCTGCGCAGATGAGACACCTGCAACACCTGCAGCTTACCTGGGACACCTGTACAACACCTGCAACACCTGTACAGTTGTACATACCTGTAAAACACCTGTACAACACCTGTGGCTTACCTGTACAACACATGTAGCTTACCTGGGACACCTGTACAACACCTGTAGAGCTGTACATACCTGTAAAACACCTGTAGAGCTGTACATGTGCAGAGATGAGGCGCCTGTGACACCTGCACACACCTGGGACACCTATACACACCTGTAGCACACCTGGGACACTTGTACAGACCTGTAGCACAGCTGTATATACCTGTACATTTACGGAGATGAGACACCTGCACAACTGTTCACCTGGGCTACCTGTAACAGCTGTGCAGAGCTGACACACCTGAGACACATGTATATACCTGTAGCACACCTGTACAGCTTTGCTTAGAAATACCTGCATTACCTGTATATACCTGTAGTACATCAGATTCTGTAAAACTGTGCAGAGATGAGAAACATGGACTACCTGGATATCACACCTGTAAAACACCTGTACAGTGGGACACCTGCGCTACTCTCTACCTGCTTCAGGTGCAATAAAGGCTTTTTATATGATAGCAAACTACCACAAGTGACAATGTGTGGGCAAACTGCCACAAGTGACAATGTGTGGACAAACTGCCACAGGAGACAATGCATGTGTGGGCAAACTGCCACAAGTGACAATCTGTGGGCAAACTGCCACAGGAGACAATGCATGTGTGGGCAAACTGACACAAGTGAAAATGTGTGGGCAAACTGCCACAAGTGAAAATGTGTGGGCAAACTGCCACATGTGAAAATGTGTGGGCAAACTGCCACAGGTGATAATGTGTGGGCAAACTGCCACAAGTGAAAATGTGTGGGCAAACTACCACAAGTGACAATGTGGAGGCAAACTACCACAAGTGACAATGTGGAGGCAAACTGCCACAAGTGACAATGTGTGGGCAAACTGCCACAGGTGGCAATGTGTGGGCAAACTGCCACAAGTGACAATGTGTGGACAAACTACCACAAGTGACAATGTGGGGGCAAACTGCCACAAGTGACAATGTGTGGGCAAACTGCCACAAGTGACAAAAACATTTTGGCAGCTTCACATTTAAGAGCCATTACCTAAACTATTTATTATTGAGAAATGATAATATAGTCACAGTAAGTATAGTATAGAAATAGATAAATATGTCCATATTTGTGTATATAATGTTACACCTGTTAATAAATCCCAAAGTTAACAAATTGTCGGGTGTCTCATTTTAATTTATGATTTCTCTTTTTCCTTTCTTGACCCACAAACGTATGCACAATGTAAAATGTAGCTATAAAATATATGTAATTTGCAAATATTCCTAAAATACATGTAACATCCGTGTCCATAGTATCACCAGGGTCCATAATATTGCCACCTTGCATTGAGGAATAGTGTGCTTTAAGATATTTTTACTGCAACATACTTTTGGTATGCACTCCTGCACACCTCAAATGTACATACCTAGGGTATGTTGCAGTAAAAATATCTTAAAGCACACTGTTTTTTCAAGGTGGCGATATTATGGACTATGGTGATATTATGGACACAGATGTTACTGTCAAATGACAAAAATGTAAAAACATTGTCTATTATGGATTTCACCTCAATACATTGTAGCAGATGAAAAAATAGTCCAAGACTCCAAAGACTATTCCATGATCAGGGTCTACCAATAGACTTGTGACAGACGCCACTTTGATAACGGTTGAAAATAAACAAGATGATAGTCAAAAATTCATGCAACGTTATGTGTAGTATTCATAGAGATTGTATACCATAAGGCCACACCGGCTTAGTTTTATGGATGACATCCGCGCACGCATTGATTTTCGCCTGTTCTCAAAAAGAAAAAAGATCAAGTCCACCGAGGCTCTGTCCTGGCTCTAGGCCTGGGTAGTCCATGATAGCGACAATACGGAGCCGAGCACCCAGGCTACCGAAGCTCCACGACTCAAGAACTACAGTGCTGATTCATAAATTCCGCAAAAGGCCAGCGTTTGCCAGCTTGTTACGTAAGTATAGTCGTCGCTATGTACTGCCGCAAATTCACAATACCAGCTTTGTATTCCTGTGGTAGCAGCATTTTTATTTTTGGCCTGATTTTTTCTTATTCGCCCGCGCGCACTAGTTTGGGGGTCTTCTGAGGATGTCATCCATAAAATGAAGTCGGTGTGGCTAACTTCAGAACAATGATGCAATTTTCAAAGAAATTTGTGCCCTCATTTCAGTTCTGTATTATGTCATTTCACATTTGGAACAAATCGTTGGACGATACCAGTAACGTTATTGTTGTTATGTGCCTAATGAGCTGTAACGTTAGGGTCTGTATTGTGCCTATTGTAAGTACAAGTAATGCACATCTAAACCACTGATCGCAAAAATTTATTAGATAAAGCATCATGGATGGTAATATCTTGGTAATATCATCACTTGCAGTAGAATTTTCTGTATTGAAAGTGTAAAAATGTGAAACTTGGCCCAATGGTACACCCTGACCTTGGAAAAGCCGACTGTTGCAGTGTCCTTGAGCTGTACCTGAGAGGTCAGGGGTTAAAGGTGAAAACAAGATGGCGGTACAGCCATGTTTTTTCTGGTCCCGTCGGTGACAAAGCGCCGTTTCCACCGAGAATGTCGTCCGGCTGTCCGCTCGGCGTGGTGGCGGTGCACCTGGGCGCGGGGTACCACTCCGTGGGCGAGACGCCGGCGTACGCCCGAGCCTGTCGTGCCGCGCTGCGGGCCGGGGTGG